CCTGGATGTGTCATATCATTGGGGTCATTCCATACATGGTTTTTGTGACCGGCTTCTTCCGCTCAGCGTGATGTTTTCAGGGTTCGTCCACGTTGTGGCACGTGCCAGCCCTTCATCCCTTATTGTGGCTAATGTTCCGTTGTGTAGGCAGATCACATTTTGTTCAGTCACTCACCTGTTGATGGACAGTTGTGTGGGTAGAGACCACATTTTGTTCAGTCACTCACCCGTTGATGGACATTTGGGTCGTTTCCACCGTGGGGCTCGTATGAGTCACACTCCCATGAACATTTGTGTGCGCACATGTGTGGAGAGCCGTGGGGTTTTGCAGCAGCGAGTGGCTGTGCCCTTCCTAAGAGTCACGCATAAATAGCGTAGGAAAATGGCTTTTTTTCTCCTTTTCCTTCTAGTCAGAATTCCTACAAGAATCCAATCTGATCATGGCCAAGTTGAATTATGTGGAAGGAGATTATAAAGAAGCTCTCAACGTCTATGCCCGGGTGGGCCTCGACGACTTGCCGCTGACAGCCATCCCTCCCTACAGGTTGCGGGTGATTGCGGAGGCCTATGCAACCAAAGGTGAGGCCCGGGCTTTCTCTCCTGGGAGCGTTTCCCCAGTGTGACGCCGCGTGGAGCCACCAGCCTCCCGGGAGCCTCCCATGTGATCCGTGCCCTTGACTGGTGATCAACCCCGAAAACTTCCCACAAGGCCCCCTGGGTTGCCCCACCGCGCACACTGGGTAATTTTAAGCCCTGCATCACGTTATTTCCTCAGAGTCTCCATTCTTCAGTTATGACTGAAGGGAAAAACATTTCAGTAAAGTTTCCTGATAATTAACATAGAAACATAAAGCTAGGACTTTTTTGAATAAGGTATTGCACAGTTCATGTGGGGATTTGTAGCATCGGGTCAGTTGGCCATGTGGCCAACAAGGCTTTTGTTCATTCATACCACCCCTGGGTTAATTAAGGCTAATTGGTTGACACATGTGACAGTCACTGAAACATTCGTCATCCAGGGTTTATTGATGGGCCCAGGGACCCTGGCAATGGAAGAAAGAGCAAATGTTTTCTTATTTGCCATGACGGAGCTTGCCTTCTGCTGGGAGAGATTGCAGCTCAGGAGAAGAGAGGCAGGATACACATAGTCCTTGACCTGCTCAAGCCGCTGTTTCCTCATCTGTAAAATGGGTATAATCACATCCATGTTGGAGAGAGATCTTGAGGACTAAGTCAAATGATTACGTGAAGCGCGTAACACAGCACCAGGCACGCACTAAATACTTAATAACTGCTATTTGATGATGTCAGCCCTGGATAAGACAGCACATGGTAAATGGTGGGCGGGAACAACAGCTTTTCAGAGGCAGGAGAGGTCTCTGCAGGCCAGCAGGGGTCAAGAAGGCTTCCTGGAGGAGGAGGGCACTTTGAACTTCTAAAAGGCTGTGGCAAGAAGGGGCCCCTTGAAGCAGGCAGCTTTTCTCCTTTCTGCCACCTGGTGTCCAATCCATGCATTGTGTCTGAGTGTGGCTGGCCTGGAGGCCAGGGGCCGGTTGGCTTGACCCTCCAGACCAGCAGTGAGCAGGCCACTGTGTGCTGCTAGCACTTTCTGGCCGAGACGTGGAGGCTGCTGGTGGTTTTGGCTGGATGTGGTTGTCCTGTGCAGCGTGAACAAAGACCCAGCCCGAGGCGCACGTCTGAAGAGTTTTGTAATGGGGCTGATGTATTCACCGCGTTCCCTGGGGAACCCTGGTGGTTGCCAGGCTCATCTGATTAATCTTCTAAATGTCCCTGTGGCACTCTGGCGGTTTAATGGGCATGGCCCTCTGAGGCTGGCTCAGGGGCCTGAGGATGCCTGGCTCGTGTTGGCATCTCTGTGGCAGGGGCCGTGCTGGCGTCTGCACACAGCCACCCCCTTCTCCGTCTGGTACTCACTCGGCCACCTCACATGCCTTATGCTGGTGGGAGCTAATTGGTGTGTGTGTGGTGTGTGTATTATTGCAGGCCACAAATGATATTCTGGAATGAGAGCAAACCTTCATTTGGCAATTTCTAATTATCCAATTGACCTCTCCAGGTGAAGAGAAGCTGGTGGATTGTAGCCAGGAGTTGGTTTGCTAGTTGCAGGGAAGGGGAGATGACTCTGGGGCTGCCTTGGCACCAAAAAAGCACTCAGGTCTCAGTACTGGCTCTGAGGCAGCCCAGTGGAGGCAGACTGTCTGCAGGTGGCACTGCCAGCTCAGTCTTGTGGCTGCCATGCAAGGCAGGCAAGGACAGGAGACTTGGTCCTTGAGTCTGACTCCAGTGTGTGATTAGCAGTGGGCCCCTAGCCACGGGGCTGAGGCACTTGGCTCTTGGGATGCCCTTGCTAGCTGATGGGAGACCTGGTGCTGGCTGGTTTCTGACTTCTGTGGGTATATGCAGAGTCACATGGGTACAGGGAGAGTGAAAGTAGCTTTTGCCTAGAGGAAGTGGCCTGTGGCACCGAGGACCCAGGCCCCTGAGAGCCTGTGGCCAGATGAGAAGCAGTCTGGAGTGATGGTTACCCAACCCACTCTCTGCCTGTGTGGCTCTGTGAGCTTTTTGCAAGTTCTTTGACCTCTCTCTACCTCCGTTTCCCCATGTGTGAAGCTCTCAGTGGGTGTCATGAGGATGACATGAGATCGTCTGTGTAAAATGCTTAAAACAGTGAGCATGATGCAAATGTGTGCTTAAAGATAAGTGTCTGACAGATGGTAGGGGGACCACTAGAAGTGACTTCTAAAAACGGAGAGAAGTTGCTAGCCTAATTCCCAGCGATGCCAAAGATAGGCAAGTTCTTGGAGGTGTTTAGGGACCCGTGGTCCTAGCTTGGGGTAGAAATAGTCTTTTTTTTTTTTTCTTTTTTCACCAGAGTTGTTGAGAATTTTCAGGGAGAGATTGTCAATAGGGCTTAGATGAAGGCTAGTGAACAAATTGCCCTTAAATTAGAAATTATGAACTGCTTGCCTGCAGGGTACCTGAGCCGGGTTCATCTAGTCGCATTGGTGTTTCCAACACTTCTGAATCAGTTGCTAACATTTCAGGATTGACACCATCCAGTTAAATAGTCAGCTTTCTGGCTTCTTTGGAAAGAAGGAAACAGCTGTCTCTTTATTCCTGCCCGTAAACATCAGACTGGAGCTGAGTGGCTGCTGCCCCTCGGAAAGGCATGGACCCAGCCCATATCCCGCCCTGTGCTACCTGGGTACTGATGCAGACACCGAAGTGACCCAGACTTTGCCATGGGAACCTGAGGTCTGACTTGCCAAAGTTTTCAGCCAGCACCTGGAAATGGCATCGAACTCAGGCATCAACACTTCTAGTCATGGCTGGGAGCCCTCCCTGCTGGCCTTTGCTTATTAGAAATCTAACACCAAGGGTATTGAGTTGTTGAGAATGTCCTCGGGCCAGCTCCTTGGCAGGGGCTTTACCATCCCTTTAGCCTCCCAAGTTCCTGCTCTATAGGTGAAGGAAACGAGACAGGAGAGGTCACTTGGAATGGTATCAGTAGCTAACGTGGCCCTTGATCTGAGTATCTGAGTCAGTCTTCACAAGCACCCTTTGAGGTAAGCTCTGTTACGCATACTTCTGACCTATCGACTGTCTCATTATCCAACATTTCACATTTACGACGGTAGTAAAAAATCTACTATCCAACTGTTTTGCACATTAATGATGTATGTCTGGCAGTAATGAATGCCAAGGTGCCAGGTGAGAGTAACACTGGCAGTGATGGCTAAGGTTATATGTCAGCTTGGCTGAGCCACGTTTCTCAGGGGTTTTTGGCAGTTATGTAATGATGTGATTTGGCAGTCACCCTTCATCTTGTGATCTGACGTGGTCATCCTCCATTTTCACATAATGCCAATTTTCATATAATAAGCTGGTCTTTGGAACCTAGCCATGTTGATAAGTGAGGACTGGATGCATTCTTTCCGTTTTACAGATGAGAGAACTGAGGCACAGGGAGGTTAGATAACCTGCCTAGTTCCTTACAGATAAGAAGTGGTTGAGCTAGGACTTGACCTCAGAGATTGGTTCTGGAGCCCACACTCCTGCTGAGTGGCAGAAGTGGGACTCAGTTGGCAGAGTGGTCGGCTCCAAAACCTGTGTCCTAATCCCTCTGCCATATTGGCATATGGACTGGACCTTGCTTTGGCCGGGTAAGGTTTCCTCAGGTAGAAAGCCTCCAGGTCATCAGAGAGACTCCTAGGTTTGTTTCTGCACCCCTCTTCACTGCATCACCCCCATGCTTCCCTAGCCCTCACCCAGGTCTCTGCTGTAAGGACTCTTTCTACCCCTCAAGCTCACATGTCCCATCTTCTGTGAAGTCACTGTGAAGTCAGTTGGAGTCCTCTCTCCTGTCACGGCACATAGGTTAGAAGTATGTGGAGCCATATTAGACTCAGCTGTACCACTCTCAAACCCCCTGCGTCTGTGCACTGCTCTGAAGGAAGAACTCTGTCTTGCTGTTTGCATCCCTGGGACTTAGCAGTGTCTGATGCATAATTGGTGATCAGTTACTGAGTGACCTTTGTAAAAGTTCCCTTGCTTGAATTTCTACCCAGATGCCCATCTGTAGTCAGGCGACTCTGGGGCCTTATTTCTGCTAGCCTGTCACAGTCAGAAAGGAGCCATGGTGGCACAGTGGTTAAGCACTCAGCTGCTAACTGAAAGGTCAGCAGTTTGAACCTACCAGCAGGTCCATAGGAGAAAGATGTGACAGTCTTCTGTAAAGATTTACAGCCTTGGAAACCCTATGGGGGAAGTTCTACTCTGTCCTATAGGATCACCATGAGTCAGGATCAACTCGACAGCAGTGGGTTTGTTTTGGTTTTGGTGGGTGAAGGTTCAGTGAGGTTTCCTAGCCAGTAGGTGACATACAGAGCATTTTTGATGATTCAGATCATTCTCTGTGAGCTTTGGGAGGATGCCTGTTGGCATATTGATGGTACCCCATCGCAGCCGGCATCCCTGAAACCCTGGGCAGGGGTCCTGGCCTTCTACTGACAAAAAATTGAACATGAGAGGAAAGTGTCCACGTGACCCAAGTTTATTAAAGAGAAAGAGAGAGCAGGGGCTCAAGGGGGAAAGATGGAGAGGGGCTTTTGTCTATGCTACCCTTCAGTCTCTCCCCAACAAAGGATTTCCTAGGGTTTGTGAAGGATTTTAGACAGGAATAAGGCATCATCTTTATTCATGAAATGGCTTCTGAGGTTCAAGTTATGCATGCGTGATGTCTCTGGATCCAGGTTCAAGCCCCAGTGAGAGATTCTTGCTCTTGCCTGTCTCTGGTGGAAGGTCACTTTGTCTCTGCTGTTGATTTTTACTGCCCTGGTGAGGAACGTGAATAGCAACTCTGGAGCTTGATCAGCCTTTTACAACTGGGCAAGCCTGTGAGGCTTTTGAAATGTAACTTAGGTTGCTAAGGTCCTGGTTTGTTAATTGCAAGCAGTTCTCTCTCATCAGCCAGCTGCTAATGGAGTGGTCTGCCTCATAACTATTCCAGGGATGCTGAGTCAGAGGCTGCTTGATTCAGCTAGCCCCACCTGTCTCAA